TTACTATGTATTGTACCAATGTTGTTGGATCAAGGACAGCAACGGACCTGGTAGTACTAGTCTGTCATTTCAACTGCCCAACTATCCAAATATTTATACGGCCGTGTGTGTATGTGCCGCTTAAGTGATTCGTATTTACGGATATTTTGTGAAAACAGTACTGTATTCAACAGTTGGTATATGGCTAAGATAATTTTGAAACGATGCCCAATTTGTTGTACATTACATTTAGCCCAACGCAAGCAATAGAACAGCACATGCCTACCTGTATGTACATTAAGGGTTCAGTTACATAGTTGTGTGATGGTGACACGGTCGCAAACTTTGGATATCCATACATGTGTGCTACAAAATTCACCTGTCTTATTATGGAAAAGGCTGTCTGAGATCCTTTTCGGCGGTTGGTTCTGTCCAGGCTTGAAAATCCTTCAACATCAAAACCGCACGACGTCCTACGACGTGATGTGACCACCTGTTAATAATATTTGACCCCCCCCCTCCCCAGTAAAAACATCACAATTTATCCCTATTCTACTGACCTTTAACATTGACGTTGGCGTTCGAGGTTCCTCCCGTGGTCTTCACAGAGTACTCCCCACTGTCCTTCGGTTCGGCGTCTAGGAATATCAGCTTGTGCGTCTTTCCGTCGGCCACAATCTTGATGTTCTTTAAGTCCTTGTCAGGGATTGGCTTGCCGTTCTTGAGCCACTGTACCTGCGCGCCGTCCTTGTGGACTTCGCAGGCCAGTTCCGCCTTGTCTCCCTCCGTCACTTTGACGGGCTGAAGCTCTTTGGTGATCTTCACGGGCTCGTCTGAAAATAAAGATTTGTAACGACGGGTGATCAGTTGTGCACCGCACATGTGAAATTTGTGGCGACGCTAGTGGTTATTGCGCCGTCATGCGAGCTCCGTACGAATTGCACTGACCCAAAGACAAGAAAGTGTTAACAACTTTAAAACTGACGCCATATAATATATTTGACTCTCAGTACCGTATATACCACTGACGATATACAGGGATGTGGCCATAACCGTCAGAGCAGATTCTACGTCAACAATGCAAACAACAAGACCACCTTACCGCTGCAGCCAATAGGCGATATGTAGAAACAAACATACAAACCAGCTTAAAAACCTTTATTTATTTATTGGTTTGGCTGTTCAACCCTCACAGCCAGGGCAGCTCATCTAACGAGTGGCTATTACAAAGGGTTTGTCCTGCTGACAAGGCGTGATAAAACACTACAGCAACATATAAGGTGGCTTACCAGTCTACAAAACCTTTAAACGTTGAATCCCTATCTAACCTGTAACGTTGATTTTGCAGTTGGATTTGCCGTCCTTAGTGACCAGAGTGTACTCCCCAGCGTCGTCCTTCCCCGGGTTTTTGATGACGAGTTTCCGCTTCTTCCCGTCCGCCACGATCTGAAGCTTCCCGCTGTCCAACAGAGCTTTCGGGATCGGCTTGCCGTTCTTCAGCCACGTCACCTGAAGGAAAGGTACATTTTTTTACCATCTTTATTATATACAAGATGAACGATTTGTTTAAAGTTAATACAATATGTACTTTAGACACAACACAAAGAAGTTCTCTCGCCTACAGCTTTCGACCAGTTACTCTGGCCTTCCTCAGTAGACTGACCCAGTGAGGCTTGTCAGTGAGGAAGACCAGAGTGACTGGTCGAAAGCACCAGGTGAGAGAACTTCTTTGTGTTGGATCTAAAGTTTTACCTTTAGACATGTAACTACCAACACACATGAACCTTCATGATAAGATGAAAAATTGTTTGGATGAAGTCTAGGACAACCCTTTATCTCTTGATACAGCAATAAGAGAAGGGCGCAAGACAAGTAAGACAAGGACAGTTTACAAGTTACTATGTGCATCGGACATTTTGGTGTTTCAGTTGATGGTTGTTTGAACAAAGAATAAAGAGTAAAAACCTCTCCGTCAGCCTCCGACACTTCCGCCTCCAGGGCAGCTTCCGGTGAGTTCTCTACCACGTCCGCATCCCGTAGTCCGGACACGATGTTTACGGGACGGTCTGGGGTTGAGGGTCAACATGTAAGTCAACAGGAGAAAAACTAACTAAATCCAACACTACAGTGACTACACACCGCCTTTGTTGAGGCGTCGCAAATAGACCGATTCGGATCGAACGCGTCGAACCCTCTGTTCTATTTCGAACACCTCGAAGTTTCGAAGGTGTTCGAAATAGAACATGTTAAGGGTTCGATGTCAGGGGTTCGATCCGGAATGGTTTACACAAACAGCGTGTGTACATTGCATTGCAGGGCCGTAACACAACGAAGTACGAAGAAGACGCTAAAAGGGGCTAGAAAGCTGTATGTTAGAAGACTTACACTAAGTTACAGGCAATGAAAATAGTACATTTCTAATTCTATGCACTAAGGCTTGCTAGCTTACGTTCCGCATCAAACCACGCAAAAGCACTACGCATATCATCAGGCATGGCCACAACAAAGACACCACAGACAAAAATGTGTACTTGCACACAAATATGTAGGCTTGCTAGCTGCTACTTGCTACAAATCAATTAAAAGCATTGCGTATGCTGTAGCATCCACGAGCTTTCACTACGGTTGCCAGTCTACTGTACAGCATCAATGAGTCTTTACTGCAATGCATTGTTATGCGGCCATCGCAACCAACAGGTCTTGATGAGTCCACCGACTGTCGCACTAGCAAGTAAGCTGTGCTACAGGATACCAAAGCATTGTGGAGACATTCATGGCAGGAATGACCTCCCAATCTACTTTCTACATCCAAGCGCATGCTGCGATGCATCTATGAGCATTTTCTGCCATTGCCACCAACAGGTTTTGGTGGATCCGCTAAGAGTTGCGCTAGCAGGTAAACTACTAAAAGCATTGCCGTGGAATCCGCCGCAAAATGCAGCACAAACCTGCGACGTTCAGTTTACAGGACGATTTCCCGTCGTTGGTGACCATGGTGTACTCCCCGGCGTCGTCTTTGCCGAGGTCCTTCAGCTTGAGTTTCCTCTTGTTGCCGTCTGCTACGATCTGAACTTTCCCACTGTCCAACAGATCCTGGGGAATCGGCTTGCCGTTCTTCAGCCATGTCACCGCTCCGTCAGCCTCCGACACTTCCGCTTCTAACGTCACTTCCGGGTCCTTGTCCATGGCCTTGACGTCCTTGAGCCCGGACTTGATCTTGACGGGACGGTCTGATGATGTGCGTGTAAAGAAGGGGTACAATTCAGATGATGATGTATCCAGAACCGTGCTTTATCAAGAACCATGCTTCATCTAGAACCATGCTCAGACATAGTTCTGGATGGTCCATGCCAATCCAGAATGGTGCCTGGGGCAGATCTACGTTCTTGGATACGCGGAGACTATCCAGAACCGTACCTGATTCTAACCCTAACCCACTCAAGCACAGTACTAGATAGCACGCTTCTGGATACAACAGATGCGCATGCTTTCCAAGCAAACTCCAAATTTGCTTGCGAAGGTGCCATGCAGAATACCAACGTTTGAATTTTGGGGATGTGTAGCAATTTTGGAAATACTTGAATAAATAAATGATGAAAAAAGATAAGACATGAAATGTAGATTTATGCTATTCATGTAATTTTCACAAAAACACATTTTAATAGATCTTTATACATTTTGAAGAATATGTACACTAGCAGAAATGCCCTGCTCCACAACGTTCAAAGCACAGTTGGTTGCTGTTCACTCATCAAAATCACTATTATCTTACACAGTTTCTAATCAAGATAGTCGTTTTCTTGTAATATGTTATGCAGATATTCATATATTAGAAAATCTATATTTGTTTGTCAGCACTACTCAGCAGTGTTAGCGTCGCCGCGTTGTATGTTATGTATGCTTGTCTTTACCTTGGCGCGTCAGAATATGTTATAGACAAACCTTTACAGCTATTGCCTTACTAAGTATAATCTACGCTTCGTTTGCTTATAGTTGCACAAGGTTTCTTTTCTACAGCGTTTAATGCGCATAAACTATCAATCAGTCTTACGCATTGCTCATTTACAGCTCTACACTATTTTATCACTAGCTACAAGCTGACGTTGACAATTAAGTCAACCATTGAAAGATTACGACTTTAGAAGTTGTTAACGTCGTTACAAGCTTGGGTAAGTCGTCGTCAGTCAGAAGAGCCTTGATGTCTTCTTGGCTGTCTCCAAGACTAACCTTCCACCCCTAACTTGCAAGAAGACGTTCCGTCGTTTGTCTTTAAGGTGTATTCTCCGGCGTCGTCTTTCCCCAGGTCCTTGATTTTCAGCTTCCTCTTCTTGCCGTCGGCGATGATTTGAACTTTTCCGCTGTCCAAAAGCTCTTTTGGGATCGGCTTGCCGTCCTTAAGCCACGTGACCTCGCCGTCAGGCTCTGACACTTCCGCCTCCAACGTCACTTCCGGATCCTTGTCCAGGGCTTTGACGTCTTTGAGTTTGGACTTAATTTTGACAGGTCGGTCTGGACAAGACGTGAGCAAAGGGTCAAGGCATTGAAGGGGAAGAAATCGATCTAAGAAAACATCAAACCATTCTGTTTCCTTACTGCTAGCAACTGTAAGAAATACTGGATAATGTTAACATGTCTTTGCACTATTGGTACCTCTGGAGGCTTTTGAAGAAAACATACAGTATGAAATGCATTTTGTAAATTGCGAGTAACTTGTCTTGCAACAACAGGTACTGTATCATAGTCTACGTCAACAAATTCCTTCTTTTACGGAGGAAAGGAAAAACAACAGACACACACATCATTGAATGATAGCTGGCAATGACCACGTAACATATTTTCTTGTCGCGAGAAACTAGACATAAAGTTAAAGAAGCTAGGGGGTTGTTGCAGAGCAAAATGATTTTCTTGTTAACAATTGATGCCCACGGTATAGTAGAAAGCCTCTATCTGTGTCTAAGCTTAGCGGTCTTGATGCCATCTGTGCCTGTTTAACAGAAGCCCCAACATGGCACAGATTCCAAGGTCTTTGATCGGCAAATATGTACGCATGAATGCACATCACAATAAAAACCCACATCTTGCTTCTACAGGGGTTCTATACTATAGTTATATCCGTGGATTTGCTCGTTTTCTTCTTGCTGATGGTTAGTCACAAGTCCAAAACCATTCATCATTAGCTACAAGCTCTGACGTTGGGAAATACAGCCGACCGTCGAGAGATAGTAGCTTTGTAGAAGTACAGCAGAAAGAAGCCTGGGTGAGTCAAACACGGGCCAAGCTTGTTTGGAGGAAGATTACGTCACCATCGTCAGTCGGAGGAGGCCTGATGTCTCCAAGACTAACCTTCCACTCCCAGCTTGCAGGAAGACTCTCCGTCGTTTGTCTTCAAGGTGTATTCTCCGGCGTCGTCTTTCCCCAGGTCCTTGATTTTTAGCTTCCTCTTCTTGCCGTCGGCGATGATTTGAACTTTCCCGCTGTCCAAAAGCTCTTTTGGGATCGGCTTGCCGTCCTTAAGCCACGTGACCTCGCCGTCAGGCTCCGACACTTCCGCCTCCAACGTCACTTCCGGATCCTTGTCCAGGGCTTTGACATCTTTGAGTTTGGACTTAATTTTGACAGGTCGGTCTGGACAAGACGTGGGCAAAGGGTCAAGACATTGAAGGGGTGTTAAATCGATTTCAAACTGGCTAATAGCAGGTTATCAAATATCTTGTAGCTTCAAATGCTTCCGATGGAAAAATTCTCTTTGGGGGAAACATATGGAGCACATTCTGTAAATTGCAAGGTATTTGTCTTGTAAGTCTTCCTCATACCTACCCACATACCAAATATCCATCTAGATCTTCTCAACGTATGCTAGCCATAAATATGAGGACAGACAAACAGACACATACAGACACACCCAAACCAACACGTCCACTTCGTTTGGAGGCAAACATCCGAACAAACAATTGCACACAAATCAATGATATGGTTGCTACCACGACACAACATATACTTTTAATCATACATCCTGTAATTAAGACTAAATTATGATGGGGCTGTTGCATAGGGAATGGTTTCGCAGCAAGCCTCTGTCTGTGTGCAAGCTCGATGATCTTGTTGCTTCCTGTACCTACAAAACCTACAAAGGAATTAGTATTTAAACCAGTAGCGCCTACGTGATACCGATTCTTGCTGCTACTGTACTGTGGAATTGCTTGAGCATTCGGTAAAAAGCACGTCATATTGTTTGCGCATTGTCATCAGGTCATGTGAAGCTCCAAAGCATCCCTTTGCCGCGTTGTAAAGCAGATGCTGATCCGTTTAAGATGACGCGATTGAAGCAGCGATTGGTACAATGAGAAGCATGGGAGGTTGATGAGTTCATTCCAATGTCTCCACCACAAACCTTGTACGCCCAGGTTGCATGACGAAGTCCCAGCGTTGGTTTTCAGTGTGTACTCCCCGGCATCGTCCTTTCCCAGATCTTTGATCTTCAGCTTTCTCTTCTTCCCGTCCGCGATGATCTGGACCTTCCCGCTGTCTAGAAGCTTCTTGGGAATCGGCTTTCCGTCTTTGAGCCACGTGACCTCCCCGTCAGGCTCCGACACTTCCGCCTCCAACGTCACTTCCGGATCCTTGTTCAAAGCGTTCACGTCTTTCAGCTTTGAGGTGATTCCGATTTTTCGGTCTGATGGAGAACCAACGATAGAATGTTTACGTAGAGCGCACAAACCATGTTTCACATTGTTGTTAAGGGGGAAGGGGGGGGGGTAAAATAAGACAGAAACACACTACAAAACATACAATTTAATACACTTAGACCACAGTTGCTGAAAAAAATAACACACTTTCGATAAATAAGATGGGTTTAGAGATCGACAGTAAATGTTGGTGTGTTGGTAGATCTAGTTCTGGTTTCTGCTAGAATTAATCTTGTTATGGTATGGGATATTTAATTTATTATCCAAGAAGCTTTATCGTCCTTGCATAAGTCCATTACTAACTTTGATGAATAGAATTAAAATGCCATCTAAACCATTATGAATAGATATCAAAGCAGTAGTAGGCACTGTTGCTCCATGGTTCAGTTAAACGACAAGAGTTTAGTAGTTTTTGCTCTGTAAGATGAATTTCGTCGCCTTCAATTGTAAGCATAAACGACGTCGTGAAGTCCGTTATGTCGTCTGGGTACATTTGATCCGTGGATTCGGTTAAACGGCAAAAGAGTTAAGTATTAAGAGTAGTTTGGCTCTGGATGTTGGATGTATTTCGTCGCGTTCAACTTTGTAATAAGCAGAGGACGAAGTCATGAGGTCGTGATGTCGTGTAGTAGTGGGTACAGTTGCTCCATGGATGCAGTTAAACGACAACAAAGTATTAGGAGTAGTTTGGTTCTGCAGGTATGATGTATTCCGTCGCGTTCAACCTTGTATAGCACAGTGTCTCCATGGATTGGGTTAAACGACAAGAAATTGAGGTATTAAGAGTAGCCTGACTCTAAAAGTAGGATGTATTTCGTCGCGTTCAACCTTGTGTAGCACAGTTTCTCCATGGATTGAGTTAAAAGACAACAACCTGAGGTATTAAGAGTAGTTTGGTTCTGAATGTAGGATGTATTTAGTCGCGTTCAACCCTGTATAGCACAGTGTCTCCATGGATTGAGTTAAACGACAAGAAATTG